GAAAAATATTTAGTTCCCAATTTTTACACTGAGTTTTTCACATAATTATTTTTAGAGGCTTTTGAAGTATAGATATATAAGTGAGTTTAGGTAACATGACAACATAACTGAGTTTGGTATCTTCACTTGAATTACTATGTGAATGTTTAACACACAATTAAAAAAATGGTTAGTTAAAAGAATTTGTCAAAAACCCCTTTGCAGGTTGATACACATTGCATATGTAATTGCTTCAGATTTTTTCATTGGTTTAAAAATTTTTTACAACAAGGCCAGGTTGTTCAAAACACCATTAACCTAACCCAGGGTTAGCGTAAATTTTCAATTACTTACTTCTACAGTTTTGCTGGGGGGATTTTTTTTTCTTTTTTTTTCCCAATAAGTTTCCAGTCAACATTCCAACTACAACATATACATTTGGTACAATTGCATTAGTGTGGATAGTATTGCAATGCAAGTCTTTTTGTTATATTTTCTACAATAAACAAACACTTGGTGAGCCAGAAGAGTCAGTAATTTGCATGTTGTTGCCCTCATCCCTCACCCCTACCCATTGACAGCCTTACCCAGCTACCACCCCCTGCCTATTAAAGACACCAAATGGAATGGCATGTCTTTTGATATGCTATCCATATACTCTGAGACAAACTTCAGATATATAAACCAATCAATATTTTATAGAAAAATTTACTACCTGACAAAGGAATTCCATGTTTTATTACATCCATTTTGAAATCACTGGTGGTCCCTGTAATCTAATTGGCTCTAACTGGTGCAAATTATTCATGAGTTGCACCATTTTTTGCTCTAAATTGCATCATTTTACGCTTGACTGAGTTTTTGACACATGACATCAAAGTCTTTCTATTTTGTATACAAAATAAGACGTAAAAGCGTTTCCAATTCTGCTTTTATTTAAAAACCAGCTCAGTACTGCATCAATAAAATTTTTGAACTGACCTGTATTTGGGCGATTTCAAAATGGACATAATAAAGTGGTAATTGAACCCTGTGTCGTGCAATTTTGGTCTGTAATCATACTTGTGTTTTCAAATCGAACTTGCGCTGTGCTTCAATTTTGAAATCACGCGTATGATTTCAGCCCAAATTGCACTGATCCACTCAGTTCAGTTACCATTATAAATTGTACACATGAACTGATATTGCACGAACTGCCCAGGGATAATTGTGATATCAGTTTGAAAGTGTAATTTGATGCAGAATTCACGAGACAGGTGATAGATTTTCCTTGAATCACATAATTTAATAAAAATTAGAAAAAAAGAAAACAGCAATAGGAATATTGTGTTTTTATACTTAGCACACAACAAGAAATGCAAAAAAATATCCCTTAGACTCATTTTCAAATAGCAACTCCAGGCTAAATATCTTTCTTGTTAGCCAATCAGAGTGCAAGATTTTATTCAATGATGTGATTTTAGAAATAATTGCATATCAAGTTAAAACCTACCCTCAGGGCAGCACATGTTTGAGAGAATTTCTAAGGCAAGTTGCTGAGCATTCAACAGCATTTGGACATCTTCAATCTAACAAAGAAACCAACTAATCAAGAAATAGATTTTTTTCCTGTCACCCTTTGATCCCCAAGAGCAACTAACATCTAATTTCTCCTTACAATATCACCCCTGAATCAAACATTTAGGTCACAAGAGTAAAGGAAATGATCACCAACTAACGAAGCTCTTGATTGTTAAACATATTCTCCTTGCCAGCACCCTATGAAATGTATAGAGAACAGTATGGAGAATATGCATACTGATGGTAGGGCATAAAGGGTTAGCTCAATTGGCAAGGCATCAGACTTTAACATCAGAAGTGACTAAGGTACAACTCATTGTCAAAAAAAAAAAAATCTCCCATGAAATTCAATATGAACAAACCAGTAATTTGTACTTACCTTGGTAGGCTCTGGAAGCAGTTTATTTATGACATCAAAACAATTCACATCAAGAACTTGGGCCAAGACTTTGACAAGGGCCTGAAGGAGCTCATTAAAACTGTCTGGTGGAATACTGTAGCGGATGTTATACAACACACCTGCATGATCATAAAACATCTGATGAGTTAACGAATGCTTGTGACTGAGGTACAATTACTGGTATTTACATTACAATCAGTGGTAGTTATTTCAACAAAAGGTTCAAGTTAAAGAAATGACTGAAAAAAATTTTAACTCCCAGAAGTAACTGATGGGTAATCATCCCTTGCAATGTTAGTACAGGTATATTACTATTTTGCCCAGCAAATAGTTGACAAATGATTGATTTTCACAGTTCACCATTTTAAAAATAGTCTTGTTATCAAATTTACAAGATTGAGAGTGGTTGTGTAAAGCAACAAGATAAAAGTCCCTTTTTTTTCGAAAAAAATTAGCTTAGGCTATTAAAATTTAGCCATCTGGAATATGCTGTATGGTAGATAGGGAATCCTCTGATTTCCAATGCATAATGACCACCCATCCAATGATGAACTTTTTTTTATTCATGTGTCAGTTATAAAAATAGCAGTAATAAAACCACTAAGTAAGGACACAACAAGATAATTTAAATAAAATAATAAATAACTAAGTACTAATATACGATAAAATAGCATAAAATATATGAATAAATAGCATAAAAATTTGTGGTCAGCAGAATTAGGCTAGGGGACCTTAAGACATGGGGAGAGGGGGGGGGAGGAATAGTCTGAGCCTAACTAAGATGTAACTAAGAATCATGCACTGCAAACCAAGCAGCCCACACAGCCACCATCATCCATTAACATTTCCAAGTCCATTCCTCTAACTGCCCTCTTAAAGCCTGCTAGTGAATTCAACGTCCTAATACGGGAAGGTAGCTTAGCCCATACCACAGGTCCTAAATACCTAAGGGAATGCCTGCCATAATTAATGGAGCTAAATCTTGGAATAGTAAATTCTTTAACTCTTAAGTTATACACTGTGTGATTTGCTGAAAATAAATCTTGTATATAGCTTGGTGCTAGCTTAAAGTGCACCTACACTCAAAAAAATTTTTTCGCTTAACGAAGTAAGCTTATTTTTTTGAGTATTTCTGCGCAAAAATTTTTTTATTTGCTCAAATCTTCAATTTTCTATGCCCAGTCAAAATACGGAAAATCGGCCGCCATCTTGCCCCACGACCGAGTTTAAAGAGGAATGGCTCTAGTGGGTAATGTGACGTCAAATCGAGAACACGAAAGTCTGCTTTTCACACATTTTCACTTGTTTGGGAAGGTTGTAGTCGATAATTGTCCGAAAATATGCCGACTAAGTGTGTTGTAGAAGGATGTAGCAACGTGCGAAATTTGCAAGAGGGTATCGCGCTCCATACAATCTTCATACAACACACCTAGTCGGCATATTTCGGACGATATCGACGACAATCTTCCCAAACAAGTGAAAATGTGTGAGATGCAGACTTTCGTGTTCTCGATTTGACGTCACATTACCCGCTAGAGCCATTCTTCTTTAAACTTGGTCGTGGGGCAAGATGGCGGCCGATTTTCCGTATTTTGACTGGGCATAGAAAATTGAAGATTTGAGCAAATAAAAAAATTTTTGCGCAGAAATACTCAAAAAAATAAGCTTACTTCGTTAAGCGAAAAAAATTTTTTGGGTGTAGGTGCACTTTAAATTTTACATTATACATGATGGTCACTATATCTTTTAATCTACAGTTCACTAGGGTGGGCAATTTAGCCCATTCTAACAACTGCCTATAGTTAGCATTCCAGTCACGGAAAACTGCCCTAAGACCCCTCTCCTGGACATGCTCCACTTTTCTTGCATCACTTCCCCTACAAAAGTGCCATACAGTACTGCAGTAAGTCAAATAGGGCAAGACTGCAGCCTTATACGGCTGCAGCTTAGTAGTGGTTGGTATCAAGTTGTGCAACCTTGTCATTACTCCCACTCTCTGACAAGCTTTTGAGCAAATCTCACTTATATGGACATTAAAAGTCAATTGAGAATCAATGCCTATACCTAATAATTTAATGATCTGATAGTGGGAAACTCTATTACCGTCTATGTCAATATTGATATTGGCATCTTTTTGCTTGCTAATGAGCATGCTACCATATTTGGTAAAGTTTCCCTGTAAACAGTTCTCTTTATACCAACTTGTTGCTGCAACTGCACTCTCCTGTAATCTTGTTTGGATTAAAAAAACTGGTGATCATCTGCATACATGGAGATATTCGACTTCATTACATAAGTCGGATCATTCTGATAAAGATTCCACATCAAAGGCCCAAGAGAAGAGCCTTGAGGGCACCCTCTTACCACCTTCCTCCATCCGCTTGTTGTGTTCCCTAGCTTCACTCTTGCTTGGCGATTTTCAAAATATGATGCCATGAGTTTGAAATCATCTAAAAAATATTGCAATTCAACTCTATTATCAGAAAACATACCTGCAGTCAGGACTTTTAACAGAAGCATGTCGCTAGAAGACCCATCAGCCATGAGTGACTTTTCAAGAGTCTTCATGAGGTCACTTGAACCACAAAGGCAGTGAGCAGCAACAGAATTGTCTTCAGTGACAGTATGAAGGCATTGAGCTAATAAGAAAAATCAGATTTTAACATATTGTTACTTTTAAAGTAGCATTGCATACAGCATACTTGTGTATCAGTCATACACAGTTAGCCATTTATTTATGCTTCAATTTCCAAATGTGATCAAAATGTAAATTCTCTTAACAATACCTGTACAGTATCTAGAAAACAGGTACCAAGAAAAGGCTTGCTTATCAGCTTGCAAGTGCTATCCTAAATTAGACCAAATTTACTTAACAAGTAAATAAGACAGAATAAAGAAGCTGTAGTAGAAAAGTACTCAATACATTGTGTCCTTGGAGAAAAAAAAAGTCAACAGTCAAAACAAAAAAGTGTCATTCTCCTAACTGATCATTTTCCAATTCATAAAAATTGTTATAAAGGATTTTTAATATTAAAGTGAGAATTTCAACTTTAATCTCCCTTAGGACTTTAGGAATAAACTGCAGTCCTACACAGATCAGTAGGGACACAGTAATAACAGTACAGAAACTTACCTGCTGGAATTGCAACACTTGTAGGGTAAATTTCAGTCTTTAGGCTTGCAATAAGGTAAGGTAAAAGGCTGCATTTGTTTAAAATATCTACTGCGACATCACTGCTTTCGCTATTAAAAAACAACAGCAAAAAATATATCCAAGGGGTTAGTTTCATGGGAATTTCTTGGAGACTGTTAGCTGAACATTTAGCAACCTTCCTTTCTCTCAGCAATGGTATCAGACAACAAATACACTTTTAAGACAGTTGTTAGTCTGTGATTTTTTTAAATAAATGTTAAAATCATTTTAAAACTCAAATAACAAAACAACACAGTTATGCTTTTACTTTTTCAATAATTCAAAGCTAATGTGTAGATGCTCTTCATCATATACGTACAATACTGATAATTACACTTAAACCTTTAAACCCTAAAATCAATATGCATATTCTCTATACTGCTTTCCATACATTTCTTATAATACTGACAAAGAGAAGCTCAATGGATAGAGTGGTGGACTGTTGTGTGGGAGGTCGAGGGTTCGAGCCCCGGCCAGACCAATACTCAATGTCTTAAAATAATTGAGAAGAATATGCTACCTTTCTATAACATCAAGAAATGGTTAGATATTCTAGTCTTCTCGGACAGGGACAAATAAATGGAGGTCCCATCTCCTGCAGGGTTAGGAGTAGGAGACGTTAATTTCCCACGCACAAGATTACTGAGAGATGGATGTCCTCCCCTGGGGTGGGATGGGTGGGTTTGTTGGAACTTAAACCTCGTAGGGGACTTATGTCCTATTGTTTCTGCACCAGTACCTTGTACAAATCCTTGAATTATACTCAAATACTCAAGAGCTTCTTGAGAGGGTGATCATTCCCTGTTTTCTCATAACCTTAATGTTTGATTCCATAGTAACAATGTAAAGAGAAATTAGAAGTGAATCACTCTTGAGGGTTAAAGGGGTTAAGAAATTTTGATTCATCTGACTGTCAAATTGAGTGACTAATAAAAGCTACAATGATTGTTGTACAAACTTTGCTCACCAGAGATTCCATAGTAAGCTTACAGCCTGGATGGCCAAGCTCGTAGACTGTCTTTTAAACTCACTCCCCAGAGTCTCATCAATAGCACCCAAGGAATCAAGAGACTGAAAGAAAAAAAATGTGACTCAGTTTTCATTCCATGTCCACAAGGATTAGTGAGACTTGGTGCATCCAAGGAAATGCAAAGAAAGGCACTTACAATAATTAAGCATGGTACATTTAAGGGGACTGGCTGAGATGACAAAAATTAAATAATGTTCTTCACATTAAAATAAAAACTTGATTGTATAATGTAATTTAATATCTAACAAACATACCTGCTGTACAAATGTGGTAAGAGGAGTCATGACATCCTGTTCTACCATTTTAATACATACCTCAGGACCACCAGAAATACTCAGATTCCTACATCAAGACAAAAGACAATTTTTTTATAAACAGATTTAAAAAGATCTGCCCCTCCAAATAAAATTAGAATGGACTTAGCAAAATCTCAAATCTCAAAAATAGCATTTAATTAAGAGTGCATGTCTAGTGGAGAATATGACAGATATACTGTACCTCAATGTACCAGCAGCACCTTCCTGGATACCTCTATTATCGTCAATCAGCAGGGGACCAAGCCTTCGCACAATATCCTGCTGTAAAAGGGCTGGTATGGCTGCATGGTCAAATACAAGATTGGCCAGACTGGCACATGCACACTCACGTTCAGTAGCAACAGCACTTGTCAGCTGTAATGCATAGAAGAAAAAATAAAAATTTTATTCTAGTGGCCTTGATAGCAAGCCTGTTTTTCAATAGGTGAACACTTTAAAATCTAGTCATGATTCAAAGACACTATATTGAATCAGTGGGGAACTTTTAGTGAATGAAAAGTGTTGTAACGGTGCTAGCTAGCATTGCAAGGTGTCTCAGGATACTTTATTTTAGCTAATAATATACATGAAAAGATTATGTGCTTCTGATTGGCTGAAAATTAGTGTATTTTTCAAGCAACATAAGTGCAAAGCTGTAACACAAGTGTAAATTACAAATAGTGCATGCGCACTGTCAAAATTTTGTCTGTCTTGACTTTCTGTGATGAGTTTTCATGTAAATTATTACCAAGTAATAAGATTTCCCGTGTAATTTGGTGCAATAAGCACTTGAAAATTTTTCAGACTACAAATTGCACCTGCCCTACCAGCATGTGTAATTTTGCTGTCTCAAAAATTAAGTTGTGCATATTAACACCAAATTGCACTTGACATTATGTTATCACCCAATACAAATATTGGACATCACTTTTCCTAAAGAAAAAGGGGATGACACACCCCTTCAGAAACTCCTTTGCTTTGTCCTTGAAAACTTAAGCTACACTCTTCTAAAATATGTTTTGTTTTTAACCAAAGCACAGCATCTAAAACCTAGATGACTTTTTTCTTGAATTGATAGGTAAAATTGAGTTCATCTTCACTATGAAGGTCAAATTCATTTGCAAGATTTCCATATAACCTCATACATTAATTATGCATAGAGTGTTGCAGAGTAACCTTTATATTTAGGCTTTATGAAATGTAAAGCATAATTAATGTATAGGGTTATATGGAAATCTTTCCAAATCATTTGTTTACGCTGCATTTTATCACAAAAGTTGTAAACACTACTTATTTTATTTTATGAGTGAACAAGGTAGTAAGTGAAAGCCAATGCTGATTTATCAATAACGCTTTTATCACACAGTCTGTTAGATCAGATGATTGTTTACATTCAAAACTACAGTACATATCAGATGTGAAGATTTGTTTATATTCATGACGTAAATACTTCTTATATGGAATTATGCTCCATCTTTTTTTTTTTTGACAATATTTTCCTTCTCTACCTTCCTTCATGTAACTCTCCATGAAAACTAGCAAAATTACCAGTTTTTCCCGTAAGAAATAATAGCTAACCTTTTCTACCAGAGGTAATGTTTTGACGCCGACACCGGCATTCTCTTGGGCTTCACTTTCCACCTCTTTAACACTTGGAAGACCAGTGGCTCTGTATCGATATGAAGAACGCTTCTTTGCTCTCGTCTTTCCCATTATATCTCGCGGAAGACCGGATAAGGCTGCCTGAAATTTCCAACAAAGTCACGTCAAACCGCCATTTTGTTTCGCAAGTCCATGTGCTGTTGTTTGTATAGCCTCTGACCAGACTACACGCAGACGTCAACCGGTGTGTGACTAACTTTGATATCCCGACTGGCGCGACTGGCGCTAATAAAGTTTTTGCGATCTGTTTTCCATCGTGAGTTACATTTGCTTTTCCATACTTTTCCTTTCTCCAAGAGGATCAGACTTTAAGACAAACTGATATTTATTTGCTCTTTACTCGCAGGAATTTTCTTTCGGGGGTGATGTGCACCGTCGTTAAGAGACAAGCCATTTCACGAATTCACCTAACACCTACGATGACAAACCTCTTTCAGTCAGCCTTTCCTGAGAATTTAATATCATGCTGATGAATTTAATACTATTTGATAACCTGGTTGCTTTTATTGTGTGAAAATGTGTTAACATTCAAGTCGAAAGAATTTACACGTGTGGCAGTGAGCACCCTAAAGCTCCCTAAGGAGCAGAGAGGGGAGCCATAGGCAACCCAAGCTCACTACTAGAAAAGCGGACGTGACTCTTACCGTGTTGCGCAACGTTTTATATTTATAAAGGTTTGTATGGGATGTTATCGGTTTTCCTTAAAAGAGAGAAAAAAATGTCTTGTTTTGAAATAAAATGGGCTTACCTTATTGCTTTGTTGTTTTCTTTGTTGATTCCGAGCGTCTCAGGCCATTTTGAAGCGTTTTCGGCGAGTTAGCGCTATGTTGGTGTTCAACTGCTAAAAGAAAGACTTTCTCTCTTTTATTTTATTCTACAGTTGAAAACCAACATAGCGCTAACTCGCCGAAAACGCTTCAAAATGGCCTGAGACGCTCGGAATCAACAAAGAGAACAACAAAGCAATAAGGTAAGCCCATTTTATTTCAAAACAAGATATTTTTTCTCTCTTTTAAGGCAAACCGATAACATCCTATACAAACCTTTATAAATAGAAAACGTTTCGTCCGCTTTTCTGGTAGTGAGCTTGGGCTGCCTGTGGGTGAGCAAGTCGCGTGGTAACCATTTTTATCACGTGTCCGAAAACGAAAACTAATTACCGTACAAACAAGCTCTTACCGGTATGAACCGAATATTATATTCTTGTCTGATGCTCCCTTAGGTAAGAAAAAAAAAAAAAAAAACGACTACGAGCGTTCGGTCGGGAAAACTTTACATCCACAACAAAAATTTAAATAGAACAAGATCTGCCACGTGACAAGATCGTGTTTTGAACGACCAGAAAACCTTGTCACGCACGTTGGACTTCGTAAACAAATCACAAGATTTTCTTTACACGTGTACAAACGTACCACATCTGAAGCTGTCACACTTAAGCAGACGACAGTAAGACGGTATTTTATTCTACTAATTCGAAGAAAGTGAAGCAAAATGAGTGGAATCACGATTCAAGGTAAGTGACGCTACTGAAGGTGTACAACATTTGCGTTTTTCGAACGTTACCCAACTGAGTTTGTTAACTATGGTTTGGTCGAACACAGATGTCTTTGCTCGGACTTGAAAAAACACCACGATTGCTTGCTCGTTCACTATGTATAAATTTTGTTTCGGGATAATTCTCTCTTCTTGTTAAACTGCCGGTTGACCTCGACCTTAACCGTTGTTGTCTACATTCAGACTTCTTGTGGTAATCGAAGCACGATCTCTAAGTTCTCCTGTTAGTCGCGGGTTTCCTCTCAGATCACCTTAATTTAGCAAAGAATTTCTTTCGATTTAATTGTTCGTTGTTTTGTATACAGTCGCTATTAGAAGTACAAAATGAATCCAAATTTCACCCTAATAGCTCGGCAGCCTAGTCTAATTAACATAAACAGAAGCACCAATATTCCCGCTTTTTGTCTTACCATAGTTAATATTAACTATGGTCTTACGCAGTCACTGTTTACAACAAAATGGCGATTATAAAACTTATATCACAGTTTTTCAACTCTCAAATGTTCATCCGTTCTTAATCAATGATCGTGTGTGGTTTAACTGCGATCGTCATTATTTAGTACTATCAAATTTTACTCGAGTGAAACCGGCAAGCCTTCGCGGTACGTTGTTGCATAATTCTTGCATAATGTATGAACACCGATTAAAAGAATCTACATTTTAGGTATTAGAAAGCTCATCGTTGATGTGTCTCACTTTTTTGCGCAATTAATTGCTTTTTAGAAAAAGAAAAAAGTCAGGTTTTTTTAAATATTTCACGTCCACCATTTGTCTGCGTGGACACCAAGGTACTGAAAAGCCCGCCCTAAACGTGATGCAATTGTTAAAAAAAAAAATGTGTGTAATAAGAACGAAGTCTTACAGTGTTAGGATGAGTTGATCTCTTTTTAAAGCTGGTGAGCTAACCTAAAACTGACAGTATTTCATCAATCTTTCATCAGCAAGAAACGAAACGGTAATGCACACGAGTTGTTATGACCACGAGGCCGAAGCGTACTTTTCCGAATACTAAACGAAATATTCATGATCAGAAACCTTTCTGCTTGATCCAAACCTGTTCATACTTTATGGTTTCTAGAGAGATTTTTGATAGTTTCTTTTCATGATTTCTCTATGTCATTTCTTTAATTTCTAATGCCTCGGTGGGGAGGTGTAAAGGTAAGACAACATCCGAATATTTCCGAATCTTCACGATGGCCGGTTCAAGTATGCGAGCATCATCTATTAATAATTAACATAAATTTCCATCAGTCGTCCTCGCGTTTGCCTTGCGCGTTGTCTGTAAAACAGATCATGGCCTCTCGCCGCCTACCGAGTTTGTTCGGCAAACCATCTTTGATCAAATATTTACAACTTCATTCGCTCTCTCTAGCAAATGGAAAATGTTCCAACGAAAGAATTCTCACCGGAGAAACGATGAATCCATTCGTGAAACAGATAGAGTATGCAGTCAGAGGGGCGATTGTCGAACGAGCCTCAGCCTTGGAGAAAGAATTGGCGAAGGTACGGTCTCCTTTTGTGCTTTTTAGGTATTTTTAAGTCATTTGAATACATTATTGTGAAATGTGATGATTAACAAACACCTTCCATTGTACATGCTTGAGCAAGAACGAAAGGAAAGCTGTGGTTATTGAATCGGAAACGCATCGACCCGCCAAAAAGTTGTTTTATTAAACAAAGCAACGGGGTGGTAATAACTAACTGAATGGTTTTATTTCGGCATTCACGAAATTCTGTAAAAATATCCCGGATTATTCTGGAGTGATTGGCGTGAGACTTGGTTAAAATCTGCTTTTTGGAAGTTGTTTTCTTAAGCGACAAATGTGGTCTACGTGCTAGAAGCATGCCATCATTTTACTGACCTCATGACGGGTGGTGTGTCTGGGGGTGTGTCCTGACGTATTTTTCATGAGATAGCAGATTTGAAACTGTTCCAACATAATTTATTTGAGGAGCTGAAATGATAAATCAGTCGCCACAGTGTGCTTAGTTGTGCTTTTAGTTTTTCAACTTTTCAACCACTCTTCACCAAATTGGTGGAAGGTTATAAGCCAAAAATTTTCAGACAAATAAAATGGTAAGATTTCCTTATGACCCCATTCTTACAGTACTCGAATGATAGAAAACAATATAAAAACAGAGGATAGCCTCTAGGACTACTGCCTTGTTTGAGAATAATGTTGGGTTAAACAGAAATTTTTACTCTGACACACCACCTGGTTAGCTCAAGTGGTAGAGCACCAGAGGTCGAGGGTTTGAGCTACAATCAGGGTCTTAAAGTAACTGAGGAGAATGTACTACCTTTCTATTATATCAAGAAATGGATAGTGTAGCATAGCTCTGGGGCAGATCCAGGGGTGGTTCGGTCGAACCCCCTAAATTTTCCCTCAGAACACTGGAAATCATGTTTCCAAAGACCTAATTTTCAAAGTCTTGGACCCCTCAGAAGGGGAACAATTCTCTGAACCCCCCTTTACTAAATCCTGGATCTGCCCCAGGCATAGCTGTCTGAAGTGTCTGTTGAAGGTGTTACGCACATACTTGTCAATGTTGTGTGCTCTAAATAATTGTCAGTGCTCATAATTAGGTATGCTAATGTAGACTATATTTAAGATGTACACTGTACTTTGAATTTGAATGTATTTTGCGCGCTTTGAGTGAACATTAAAGTTTTGTTGGAGACTACAAATAGACACTCTAGTCGTCTCGGATAAGGATGACAAAATCATAGGCCCTGCCACCTGCATCTTCTCTTTACTGGTTAGCAGGGGATGTTAAAGAACCCACACACTTATCACAGAGAGTAGGGAACATACAGTAAAAACTCGCATACAAGAACACCCATTTTCGGGGTTCAGGCTGATTTGGTTCTTATATATTGGGTATTTTAGGTGAAATCAGCCTGAAAGTGTTCTCAAGTGTTCTTAATTTTTTACTTCTAAATAAATGTAAGGGATTTACTAACTATGATGAATTACATAACTTTGAGAGAAAATTAAACTTGAGACACACAACATTAGAAAATAAATTGCACAACCGAGCATATTTTTCATGTAATTATAAGACTTTTAATTCCAAATACAGTTGTTGTACATTTGCTATACAAAGCAAGTGAAATCACTAGCATTTGTACAGATCTTAGTGCAATACCACAGTAAAGCTACAGACACTGTTTGTTCTATTAAACTGAAAAGGGAAGGGTTTTTATTTTTAAGAACAATTTTCAGTTTTCAGGCTGAATGTGTTCTTATATATATGCTCCTTTTTTACCAAATTTCAGTCTGGGTGTTCTTAATCCACATCTTCTTGTATGCGGGTTTTTACTGTAGCTCCCAGTGTTCTGGTCTGACCTGTTTACTGAAATAAGGGTAGCTAGCTAGGGGATAGGGAAAGGTAATTTACAACACAATAGTTACATTTGATAAAATACACTGATGTCTTCCTGCTACTCTTGACCCTTTCTCTTGGGATCTTATAATTGAAGAGTTAAGCATACAAAAAATCCTATCATGAGTTTGGGCCGCTTGTCCTCCAAATTGTTTTGAATTCTTTTGAAAAGGAAGGAAGAAGCTGATATTGCAGGAAAGGACACGAAGGCCTTAGCCTCTTAAATTGGATAATCTTCTAGAGTTACAACTGACATGGTGAATTTATCTAAATAACATCTGTCAGGAGGTATCAGCTGCTGTAATAGGGTTAAGAGGGGTCATATCATGTTCCCCAGGGTCTCAGCAGATTCCATCATAACAAGAACGATTTTGGTTATCTCAAAGACAATAATCTCAATTGGATCTCAGTTGTCTCCTTCATAGGGGTTTCAGGGAACACTCACAACCAGTTGCAAAAATGTCGAGACACCTTGAGCAAAAAGTGCATTTAGCGACCTCATCAGATGGGCAAGAAGAAATTTAGTGCAAAAAAAAAATAAAATCTGCCCCCCTTCCCTGATTTAATATTGTTCATCGAAGTTTTGTATATGATACTACTTAGCTACCAACATTGCAAGGGGAGTGATTGGGGGGAATTATATTGTGTTGGATCACATAGCAAACGAGTATCTCTTGTCCTGGTAAGATATCTCAACTCATTTTGCAACTGGTTGTAGCAAGAATTCATTGGCTAATCATGTAAATTATCACCTGATTGAACACTTAAAAGAGGCCGGCAAAACAGATGAAGTTCTTGTTACTGACTGCAATATGCATGAACACTTAAGGGTTTAGATCTCACACAGCACAATTAACATGAAATGTCTGTAGCTGCAATGGAAATAACTGAGTCAGTGAAACTTGACCTGTCATGGAATAAACTTGCAACTATACCTGAAAATGTTGGAAAATTATATCTTTAAGATTTAGTTTTCCGATATTTTTAGGTATAGCCAATCATTTATATCCTGAAGACATTCTAAGCGTAAGTATACTGTACTTGTCACTTTGCCACTAGTGGTTTTACTCTTTAAGTGTACTTGGAGTGCATGCACTGCAAAATTTTTCTGTACCTTTTTAAGTGTATTTCAAGTATACTGTTGAGTGTTCTAATTTCAGGTGGGAACAAGTATACTTTTAGTAGCTCTTCAAACTATACTTCAAGTCTGTTGAAAGTATACTTTGTGTATCTTATTTGCAATACACTTTGATTACAGAAATAGTATAATAAAAGTGTACTTAATTATGGTAAGGGTTATTTACTATCTAACAGGGATTCAACCATTTAATTGAATACTAAAGCCTTCTTTGAGACAAGATTCATTAACACTGACTTTAACTTAGGAAAAATTTCCTACACTATATTAGCCCCCTTTGATTTGAAAGGTTACCAAACATGATCTCACATTTCCTTTGTTTTATTAAGGGAGAGGAAGATTAGCTTAAGGAAACAAATTACCAGTACTTAATATGAATTTTTTGAAACTTCATCTGTTGCTAGCTCTCAGAATTAATTGCTAACTCAAACAATACCCCCCCCTCTCCCATACTTCATAGCTTAGTTGGTGTTTTTTCTTTCTCCTCACCACCTGTTTATTACTTGATTATACTATGGTACTATAACGAGAATTTACATACTGGTCATCTACAGGGTGCACAGAAACCTTTCAATGAGGTAGTAAAAGCAAACATTGGAGATGCTCATGCCCTTGGAATGAAACCACTTACTTTTCCACGACAGGTCAGTGCAACTTTGTTTGTTTTTTCAAGACACTAATCCTTTCACTCCGAAGACCTCATCAGTAATTCTCCTTACCGTCTGCCATACAGTACTTATGATGTCAGTTTGGAGGATTTGGTCTTAATGGATTATTGGCCAATAATCCCCCAAATTGGTGTTTTCTTATTTTTCATCACCTGTCTGCTTGATACTGTTTTTGATATTATAAAGAGAAATTCTGTCTTGGTCACTTATGTGAAGGCTTGAGAGACTCATGATGGTTAAAAATTTTTTTTATTAAGAGGAATTAAGGGTAATTTTCTCCAATTTTGATTTTAATCATATCACACTTGCCTGTCACTCTGAATTTAGAGACAATTTGTAGGTTTTCCCTAGAGGCCAGTAGGACTTTTGGTAGTAACGGGATCCCGCTATAAGGCAGGTATCTATAAGGAAGGATTCAATAATGCTACCACCTCAGTTACTTCACAGCTATGGAGTCTGGAATTCATTTTAAATACTAAATGGTTGATGTGTAATTTATTGACCCTTCATCACAGACTTACCCTTAAAACATTGTTCACTCTTTCTTAAATCATGGAGTGTTGTGTTTCTAGGTTATTGCCATGTGTGTATGTCCAGAACTTATTGATAGTGCTGACTTTCCAGCTGATGCCAAAGCAAAAGCTAGGAGTATATTGAATGCCACAAAGGGCCACAGTATGGGTAGGTTTTTACAGACAGATGGTTGACAAAGTGACATTAATTATTAATTCTTGACTAGTTTTTCAAACTTACTCATTAAGGGGGATTAGGAGTGTAGAAGCCTGGGAGAATGTGGAACAAGATTGGTGTGAGAAAGAAGCAGGGCTATAACTACCAAGATCTGATTGTTAATTCTCCTCTCTAGCTGCTACATGTTTTCTTGTATTATTTTTGAGTGTTTGGTGTTAGATCAAGATACATGTGACAATTTCTACCTGATAAGTTTGAATATTCTTGTTACTTGTTTTCTGGATAAACTATAATTAACAATCATTCCATGAGCGCACGTTGGATATGAGATGATAGATGGCCAATGAGGCGCATAGTGCCGAGTTAGTTATAATCATCTCATATCCAACAAGTGCGAGTGGAATCATTGTTTTATTAAAAAAACTCCCCCACGAAATTATTCTTTTGTAAGAAAAAAACAGATATTTTGGCTCCCTTTTGATTTTAAGCTGACGCATATGCTTGCCATATTTGTAGATTATGGTATATTGGCTCATAGACCATAATGGCTAAGCAAATAAAAAGTCTTGAATTGCATTATCCAATGATCCAGTTTAATAGATATTATAGGGAGACGTTATGAGTTGCATGTTAATCACTTGCAGGAATTAAAGTGTTTAGTAGGTGGGGTTCAGATATTCTTTGTCTCTCATTCTTGCCTTCTTTAGTCAGAATGTGGAACAGGCTAGACAAGCTGGTAATGCATTTTGCTTTTCGGAATTATAACATGGGAGAATTTTTTGTTCAAATTAATACACTTTAAATTTGTTATGTCTTGTAGGTGCGTACTCAGATTCTCAAGGTCTGGAAGATATTCGGAAAAATGTGATCAAATACATCAGTGAACGTGATGGTTACCCTTCGAATCCAAGCCACATTTACCTCACAAGTGGTGCTAGTGAGGGCATAAGGGTAAGCCACTGGAAATAGCTGGTCTAAATTACCACCAGAAGGGATGAAAACTTTCTTGGTTTCTCCATTCTGCCTGGAGAGAAACTTGTTTTCATGGTTTTTTTTTTTTTTTTGGTTTTGTTTTTTTGTTGTTGCTTTGTTTTGGTTTTATGGAGGGGTGGGGAGGAAAGGAGCTTACCTTATTGAAGAACTTAAGTTTGTTAAGGAGATTTTAGGAAAAAAATTTTTTCTTGAGCAAAGTAGCTCATCCAGCCAGAGCTTATCTCAGTTTCCTTAGCATGGCAGTCCATGGCAAGGTTATTCCTTGCATTTCATCAAGCTGCCCTGACAATTTGGCCATACCCATTTACACTCTTGGGTGGAGAAAGGCACTGTGAGAGTAAAGTGTTTTTACCCAAGAACACAACACATTGATGCATCAGGCATCAAACCAGGACCTCTCAACCCAGTCAGTCTAGGGCAGTATCCACTAGGATCTGCTCATTAAATTGACTGATTTGCTAGACAGAAATCTATATTTTACTGAATGGTGCACATCCCTAATCTCAAACAACTTGACTACTGGCACCACTTGAAATCTCTACTTAATGATCTCGCAATTTTTTTTTCTAGGCTATCTTAAAATTACTTCAGACAAGTGTCAACACTGGGAATGGAAGGGCTGGCATTATGATTCCAATACCACAGTATCCTCTTTATTCAGCAACATTGTCTGAGCTAAACTCTTACCAGGTAAATGGCAAGCGATTGACCCTTTACACTGTAACATCAGCATGCATATTCTCCATACTGTTCTTGATACATTTCCTAACTTGCTGAGAAGGAGAATTTGTTTAACAAGCAAGAGCTCCTTTAGTTGCTGATCATTTCCTTTATTCTCTAAACCTTGTTTTTTGGTTTATAAGTTTCAATGGATTTCATATACTTACACAACAGTATTGACATTTGATCATGTTTTTCTTCCACCACAGATCAATTATTACCTTGATGAGGGGAATGGATGGGCACTAGACATTGATGACATGAAAAGGGCTCTAAATGAAGCCAGACCTTACTGTGTGCCTCGTGCTTTGTGTGTCATAAATCCTGGTAATCCAACAGGTATTAGAACCTTTTTGATAATTACAATGATGAGAATAAAAGTGATAGTAATAGCTATGTTGTTAAGATGAAGAAAATTCAAAGGTGGTCTTGTCTATCTTGTTCTATCTGCATTTCCTTTGATACTGACAAGAAGAATTTGTTTAACAATAAAATGCTTCTTAGGTTGGGGATCATTTTCAACTTGTTTAGTCTTGTGGCCTGATGATTGATTCAGCAGTTTAACTGTTAGGACAAATTTAAAATGCTAGTCACCCTTAGAACCTAAAGGGTTAACAAAGGTGTTGAAGTGCTGGACAATATCTTCAAGTTAAAGTTAGTTTGAATAACTGTCGCAGGAAACTAATTTTTTGCATCCACAGGTCAAGTTCTTTCTTATGACAACATCAAAGACATTATTAAGTTTTGCAAAGAAGAGAAACTTGTTTTACTGGCAGATGAGGTAGGTGTGCTTTCAAAATTTTCTTGCCAATTTGAGCTGGCTTTATTTCAGTTAAGCTCAACCTGTTGTAGTAGTCAAAGTACTTTTTTAATGAGGGTAACATCTGGTTATTAAACTGATTATTTCATGAACTCCTTACAATACATGTGATATTGCACAAAAACAAAGCACAAAATTTTGAACTTTACAAAGAAACTATAGCTAGTTGAAACACACATTTTTTTGGAGTCAAGTTGTTGCATTGACTACTGTTGTCAAGGCTCATTATTTCATTTCTATCACTTTCCATTTTGAATTTTCTTTCTTTAGGTATATCAAGCAAATATTTATGGTGAAGGTGCAAAGTTCTACTCCTTCAAAAAGGTCCTTGGGGATTTGGGCCCAGACTTTGAAGACTTTGAACTTATTTCATTCCATTCAACATCCAAAGGATTTCTTGGAGAGTAAGTCAATGTCTATAGTTCTATGAAATGATTTTAATCAGTGAAATATAATTGTTTTTTTTTTCTTTTTACTTTAGCCATATTTCCTATTGTCTGAATAATTCTTATAACGAAAGTAAGGTATCATTAAATTGGATTTGAATTCATGACTAAGAATAGAGTTTTACTGATTCAAAAGAAATATCAGTAGTAATATTTTACAGAGAAAGCATAAATGGGATATGATTAGAACTTGAAAACATTTGGGCTATGTTTTCATTCAAGATGGGGATTTCAAAAGTTTTGAAAATGATGCAATTAAACTATCAGCCGAAGAAACAAAAAGGACTGGTTTGGGTACCAGAACCTGCTTTCCTGTCCTTGAAATTTTGTTTTTAAAACATGGCTTCAGTCCTGTTAACTTACTGGGACTTTTGAGAAAGGGGCCCCAGGGTGTACATGTATGAATAAGTAATAGATGGTGAACTAGCATCCCATTTAGAGAGACTGACAGGGGTGATGACCAATTGCACAATGTCCTTTGTTTTCTGATCTGTTAGATGTGGCTTTAGAGGAGGTTATATGGAAATTGTAGGAATGGATGATGAAGTCAGATTCCAGTTAAAAAAGATGATGTCAGCAAAACTTTGCTCTTGTATCACAGGACAGGTGAGCAATTTCCTCTCCTTTCTGTCAAAGTTGGTGAATAAATTTTGTTTTTCGTTGTTTTTATTTTTGTATAATTATTTAGTTCACCTTTCTGCAGTTATTTAAACAAGTTTTCCTAAGCTACCTTTTTGTCATTCTGATACTTTTTGCTTAGGCAATGATGGACTGCTTGGTGAGTCCACCTCAACCTGGTGACATATCATATGACACATTCATCAAGGTAAAGAACAGCAGTTGCTATAGAGACAGCATAATGGGGCTTTTGGCAGAGACCTTGGTCCATTTGTATAAAGGGTGAATAGTGCTATCCAACAGATAACTCGCTGATCAGTGGATAGTGTTATTCACCCTTGAAACAACAATGCGCAGATGTCTAGGCTAGCATTTACAACCTGACCTTTTCTTGTCTGCATGTAAAAAAAAATCCAATTATCAGCTATCCACTGGATAGAGCTTTATTCAAAGGATTGCTTTGACCACCCTTCAAACAAGTTAGTGCTTGTCTTAAGGTTTATATTAGTGACAATTGTTCAGAGGATTATATGGAATAAGAATCATTTGTTAATTAAGACAATGGTGGTGTTAGTGAAATAATACTACCATTCAACTTTAGGATCATTTAGGCCTCACTAGTCTTAAAAGATTGATAAAAGTTTGCTTCATGTAATTATATTTCCAGGTAAAAGATAGGGTTAGTCTTGTTGTAAAGAGCTGGAGTTGAACATTCATCTGACTAGGAATGTTGCTGTGCATGTTTTTCTACTCTGGCCATTTTGTAAACACAAATTCCATTGAAAGTAGTTTGGCTGGAACAAAAATAACAAATGTTACCTTTTGTGAGCAAAATTAGCAACAGCTAACTGAGAGGACATTTCTACAGTTAACATGTTAACATTAAATTTTCACAGCTACTTAATACATTTATGTCTGACTCCAATGATTTAAACAAATTCTCGTGATCTAGGAGAAAACAGCAGTGCTTCAGTCATTGAAAGACAGGGCCAAACTGGTTGCGGAGACATTCAACTCAATAGAGGGTATTAAGTGTAATGAAGTTATGGGTGCCATGTATGCCTTCCCCAATGTGTCTATCCCCAAGAGGGCACAAGAAGAGGCAAAGGTATATTGATATTATTTCTTGTGAAAATCAGATGATATTGTTATCGAAATAATAACTCATTGAACTCCTTTACAATGCCCTCTTCAGGGTGAGCTTGTTGTTTGAAAAATCCAAAGATCAGCTGCGATGATGATTCTCGATGATGATTTTTGACTCTGATGTTGACCTCAATTCAGGTTGTCATCTCATTAGTTACAGTCACCAAAAATGGTCCTTTTGAGAACTACCCTCAGTCTTTATCACACTACACCACAGACAATATTAATATTTATTACACAACTCGGGCAGTCAGAGGGCCAATAACTAAAATCAACCAATCAAAATGCTCTATTGCCGGTCCAATATTCTCTAAGTATTGGACCGGGCACAGTCCCGAATGGTCGTGAATGATACCGCACTTGTGTCCCTTTGAACTTCAGTCGTATAATAAATCTCTTATTAACCAAGCTCGCTCGGGACCGTACTGGAAGAATATCGGCCCTCGGTCCGTACTGTCAAGACCTCGGGCCGATATTCTCTCAGTACGGCCCTCGCGCTTGGTTAATAAGATATATGTCTATACTTCCCCCATATTAACCTATCAAACCCCAATTTTTCATATTCTTAGTCATGTTCTCTATACATTTCTTATGGTAATAACAAGGAGAATTCTTTTAACAAGTATGAACTTTATAGTTGGCAATCATTTCCATTATTCTCGTAACCATAATGACGAATTCAGCAATGATAAAGTAAAGAAGAGTAAGACATACTATAGTTGCTCTTTGAGCTTAATTTTTTTTTTTTTTTTTTTGAGGTTAATATTGATTTGTTCTAATGTTTCCTTTTTTTATTTAGTCCAGAGGTATGCCTCCTGACAGTTTTTATGCTCTGGAGTTGTTGGAGAAAACAGGATTGTGTGTTGTACCAGGAAATGGTTTTGGACAAAGGGATGGAACATTCCATTTTAGGTAGGGTGATGCGAGACATATTTCATTTTAATATAGGACATTCCACTAAATTTGCAAAAATTAAAAAGTTTCAGCATTTTTTTTGTGCTACACTTATGCAAACACCGAAAATTTAAAGGTGATGTTAAAGTCACTGTCTGTGATATTTTATCTCTGGTTGCTTTACAGGCTGACGATTTTACCTCCCATTGAAGTACTCAAGCCTCTGTTTGAACGTTTTAAAGTCTTCCATCAGGAGTTTATGCGAAAATACAGAGATCCCAACTCAGCTTTATAATTCAGTGTTTGCCTTTGATTGCTAGAAGAAGTTAATTTTACAATTTATGAAATTTTATTTCTTGGCTTTGAATGGGATTAAAGAGTACTTGACCTTCTGGTTAATGTGGAATGTCCAAAGTATGTCTCTTAAAAGAAGTGCAAAGCCTTTGATCTGAGAAAGAATTTCTATTTCCAAGCAAAGAAAACTAATTTCTGCAAGTCTATTATTTGCTCAGATCACCAAAATGGCCCACAAAGAGCGTGGATTAAGTTTTTTTTACTTGACCTGAATTTTTTAAGCTGAAAAACTTCAAGAATTAGCCATAAAGGGTGTGTAGCCATATGGAGTCTTTTTTGGATCCGTTAAGCTACTTAAGAACCAGAAAGAATTTGGAAAGTGGCAGAGGATGGATTTCAGTCTGGAAAACAAGCGAGGCACTGAATTGCAAATACAGAACATGGACCTGAAGGGTCCAAAGATCACAAGATCCATAACACATGTTTTTCAATACTAATCTAAGTACCAGTTCTGAATCAAACATTTTTTGTATCATTAATGTAAATACAATGTTAAGGTTAATAAGGTTGAAGTTTTCCATAAAGGTGAGGGACAATTTAAAAAGTTTCCAATTGTCCTTTGTGTCACAGTGAGGTCAGCTGCAATGAGCAGTAGATCTCAACATTTCATTGTAATACCAGTAACTTAACACAGATGAGGGTTATCATTGTTCAGTTGAAATGCCACAATCTACAATATCTGACCACTCTGTGACAACAACTATTGACACTTAAATTATTATGGGTGTATGTTACAAGCGCATTTTGATACCATCAATATTGAATACTTGAAATATTTATTATGTGTGCATTACAATTAAGATTATAACGTTACACTAGTTTAGTTATATATTTATGAATTAAAAATTCATTCAACAGATGTACATCAGAACAATCATAAATGCAGAGAAATCCAAGATATGTGTAATTGTGCATCTTTAAAGGTTTTTAAATCAAAATTCTTGCATTTCATTGCTTGTTTGTCTATCATTTTTGGTTAATGGTCAACTCCCATAGGTAACCAAAACAGAATTTCTCCTTACAATATCAATGTAATATCAAGTAGACAATTCAAATGCAAATAAACAAAAATGATAATTTGGGGATTAGTAGTTGTTTCAGTACAAAATTCTGTGAGCTGACATAAGAATTGTATAGCAGACAGCAAGGAGTATTACTAATGAGCAGATAACATGTATTTGTTCCCCTCTCCTGTGCGGATGTTTCCTTTGAACACCTCCACTCCCTCTTGACAGTAAATGGCTTGATAGTTTTCAATCAGCTTTTTTGAGACCCCCTCCTTGTTTAAGAGCTTGCAGTGACCTGTCTTGCAGTTATTTTTTTTTTTTCTATTGAAGCATATTTTGCATCTGTGATTTTTTAAGTTTAACATGAGTGAACTTCACAAAAAGTTTATTTTGTGAGATTTCCACAACACAACAGCTCTCATGTTGGAAATAACATACTTCCCATTAATTTTTTTGTGTTTAAGTATAGCTTGCGTAAATAAAATAGCAGTTTCCTTCAAGAAGGGTTTCTTGACACATCGCAAATACACATAGACCCACAGATTACACTAGAAATTTTTAAAATCATGAATAGTGAAATGATGCATACTTGCCAATTGAGTGGAATAGTCAAGAGGCTGTTGACTCTGAAATAATGAGGAGAGGTTGGAAAATGGAACCAATGGTACCACCCACCCCATCTTGCATTTAATGAGTGGAGAGTACCAGGAAGGATTCATGGTGACAGGTTGTTGAACCAAAGTAAAACCTGCTAATCTTTTTTAGAAGGTAACACTAACAAAGAGCTGCAGTACTATACTGCAATTACAGTTCCCAAGATAAAATATTCATTCTCTTCAGGCAACCAGATTGCACAACCACATTTGTGCCTGACCCTATGAGAAGTAACAGTTTCTTATACAATCTATAAAGACATAAAAAGTTATCTTATGTTTGAGAATGTTTCACCCATGGTGGATGACTTAAAATAGGAATTGTAATAAATGACATAGTGAACATTTCTGAAAGTTCAAGGGTCGCCAATCAATTCAAAGCTTTAACAAACCCTTTCCCCTCCCCTCCTGGGCAAACCACAGGCATTTGACCCTCATCTGTGCCGTGTAACTGGGGAATTTGAACCTTACCAGCCTGGTGTGGGGAATTGGAGGTGTTTAAGGTGATAGTTAACTCAGCCAGCAAATGGCTTATGAGGAAACGTCTATAATGTTTAGGTTTTAAAACTTGGTCAATAAGTAGAAAGTCACAGTCAAATGAAATGGGGTGTGGCATTTAAACACGTTTTTCCCGTGGGATGAGGATTTGAACAAACCAATCTTAATTAAAAAGTTCCAATCCCTAGGAGGGATTGCCTGGTACGTTGCCAGGGGGGTGTGGGGTGTTACAGCTTCAAAAGTGACTGACACATAAGGGTTAGTGTTCACAAACAAGTGATCATATCCACCCTTCCAAAAACTGGACCCAGAGTTACTGTAATAACAGTTGTTAAAGAAAGTGACCAATGTTTGAATGACCTGTCACAGTTGCCATCCAATCAACTTTATTTTTTAATTGCATGTGGCTCTATACTCAGGGATTTTGAAACATTAGCTATTATCATGCACTATACAATCTTTTTCAGGATGTCCTAGACCTGGATGGTCACAGCATTTGGACAACAACTGCAACTGACAGGTTAAAGCCTACATTTCTGTAATGTAACGTTTGACACAAAAACTAATTTTTTTCCTTTACATATTATGGGAAGTCTAGCATAAAAGACAAAAATAATTGTCATCTTTCCTTGGAAATTCTTATCAGAAACCTTACCTTTAGGTCTACAAAGTACAACAAACCATTTAAATGACTATTTACAAGTTACAAAATTACTATGCTGTAGCAGGGAAAATATGCCTGTAAAGTTAACTATGTTAGCCTTGAAAATACATTCATTTGTTGGTTTTAATGATCTAAATACAAAGATCATAAAAACTGTCACAATTAATGAAATTTAAACTAATTAAACTACAATGGAAACTTTGACTGTAAGCTAATGTATTATTGTTTAGTGGAAGATATGCAAGTGAAATGTGAAGGACCTGCCTTCATCTACTATCTCCACGAAATATTTATGCTAGCACGTAAATGAAAAGCTTAGTCACCACTGAACTACGTGAAATGTCAGAACCAACACACATTCTGTTCTGCTGTAAACTGACAAAAATATTTGCAATTAAAAGCTGATTCTGAAGCTAGAATTGCTATAAATGAACACTCGATGCCAAATTGAATCTATGTGGTGGTTTCAATCTTGGATCAATTTGAATCACAAAAGTGAGGAAATAGTGATCATATCCACAGTCTGCAATGCATAAGTGTGAAAGACATATTCCATCTTCATCTGTCAACTAATATATAACAATGAATTGAAATAAAAAGTGCTTGAACCTTGCCTCATTTTTTAAAGCAAAAGCTATATACATATGAGCTTCAACTGTGCAAATGTAAGCTTATCTTCTGATTAGATTTAATTTTAAAAATAAATAGTATACTGCTGGTGGCAGGCCTTTGCATGCACGTACCTGCTGTCCTGCAAAATGAACTTTTGGTCAAAATGATTTCAACTCCATTGACTGACACTTTCCATTTTCCCCCTTTAGTTATGATTAAAGTAACTGATCTGGAACAAGAAATATCTTTCAATTTTAAGCTTTACTCATAATCACATCTAAAATTCTTGGTTTTGATTGGTTAACTGCATGTCCGAGTATCACATTATTGGTGTGTAATGACCGATTCATTCATCAAATACATGCAACTCCCTCAGTGGTTTTCTTTCCATTTTCTTGTATAACAAAAAGAAATAAAAGGAACCACATCTTATAATTTTACTCTGTGCAGGATTCTTCACACTTTTCTCTGCAAAATTTGTTACTGATACAGTCAATAGTGTTCATTTAGCAGCTGAATAGTGCATCAGACAATTCAGAGGCAATTGTTAGTGTAAAACCAATTCACACTAACTGTGCACTCAACTCAGTCCTTTTCCAAATCCCAAGTGTAAATTGAAATAATTTTGACCTTGCAATCATTTCAAACACAACATCCTTCTCTATAAGTTACACATACTTCATGCATGACTGTGACATCATTCTTTGGTTGATGTCACTCAAAATAAGGGAGTACATCTCCGCTTTCTCACGAGAAATATGTGGCATGACATCTACTGGTTCTTTGTTATCAGATCCACTGGATGTATGATCCTCGCCCTCATTATTTCCATTCTTAATGGATTTGTTTGGGGATAGAAGGGACTGTGGTTTTGGTTTATTTTTGGAGCCCTTTGGACGACCTCTCTTACGTTTTATTGGCATACCATCTTCATCAAGCTGAACTGGCTGCAAAGAGAAAGAGTTTTGTTGGTTCAGACATTTATATCTTCAAATATCAATTATCTAATCCACACCAGGGCAAGGAAGGGATTTACCATTGACAGTCTCTATCCAAGAACACTAACAAGTCTAGCCATTGGTGGACATCATCACAAATGTAACATACTCACTATGAAACCATTTTCAGACCTTGATCATTGGTACATTCTGAACATGGCTGTCCCATGCTCAACCAATAATATTCTGGGTCCAGTTGTTCAAAGGCCGATTAGTGCTAACCCAGGATTAAATTTTAATCCAGGTTTCTATATTTCTCTGTTCAAAAGCCGTTTTGGGATAATTTTCCCAATTTTTTTAGAGCAATCAATCATCAAATTGTAGACAAATGGAATTAAACTGAATTTTCTTTTAAAGCTTTCAGATGTAAAATTAATTTCCAGACTAATCCTGGGTTATCTTAACCCACCTTTGAACAACCTGGCCCTGAACTATTCAACTCCAAGATCTAAACATAAATAGAGGATATTACATGGCCGCGCGGGGATACGAATTTTATCTTCGAGTGCTGAAAGTATATCTCACTCGTTTGCTGTGCTCACTCGTGAGAGATACTTTCAGCATAAGAAGATAAAATTCGTATTCCCAAGCGGCCATGTAATGTGCTGTTATTATATAGATACTGATGAAATTTCCACATAAAAGACAACTTTTTTTATTCATTTTGGAAACAGCAATTGGGTAATTATGTTGGTAACCATAGCCACACCAATGTCCTCACACGTGAAAGATAAAAATAGTATCTTCACTGCGCGCGGTGAAGATATGATTTTTTAGTAAAAGGAGAAATCCTGGTATTTCATCAGTATCTATATAATAAAATTAACTCTCCACACTAGCTGTCTACCAACATCTCTTATCATTTTACCTTTTGAAAATTCAATGTCTAAAGAACAAATACATGTCCATCATGAGTTGAGAGTTTTCTCTCTTTTCATCCTCTTTAACCTTTTACATCCTCAAACTGGGCCACTGAGGCTCAATCACAAACCCAGAATGCAAAACAATTTGTTGTAAGGTGAGTCATCCTGACCCAAATTGACCTCCTACCTTAAAACAATAAAACTTAACTGGGGAAAAAAAAATTTACCCAGTTAAAAAAAGACTTACCAAGTTAAAAAAAAAAAAGTTACCTACAGTAGTTAAAAATAAAGTTAACCAGTTAAAAAAAATTACCTAGTTAGAAATAAAATTAACTAATTTACCAAAAATTACCTGCAGCATAGTACATACCTGTGGTTGTGGATGAATAACTTCCCCTGTAACAGAGTCAGTCTTAACTTTGTTCTTAGATCCTTTTGGTCGACCTCTCTTTTTCGGAAGAACCACACCATCAATAGTTTGAGGAAGCTACATAAAAATGTAATGATATTAATTCTATCCATGATTAATTTGTTCTGACTTAAAGAAACACTTTATACTATGAAGTATTCCCACATTAAATTAACAATACGGAAGAATAGTTCTTCTGAGCTTTTAATGCAGTGGCCCACTCCAACAAGAGCCTGCCCAATTTTCTTTGCAATGAAGTGACTCTAACATGGCCTTGCTACCCACTCCTCTGAACTTGGATAACAGTCCAGTGCAGTTAAGTTCCAAAATTAATTCTGTTGGGTGGTGAGAGGCACTGCTAAAAAAAAATGTCTTGGTAAAGAACCTAGCAAAATGACTATGACGAGGTTCAACCTAAAAATGTCTACTATAACTTCTAAAGAAACGTCCTTGCACAAAACAGCATCAAGATATCCAAAGTGGCAGTTCTTGCTTGTGTTTGTTCGTATTTCCTGTGCATTTTGCATCCTGTTGCTTTAAATAGCTCACATGAATGACCATAATATACTTTGTTCTCATCTTGCCTCCTGTTGCTTAAGGTGCTTAACAATTTTTCAGAAAAATATATACCTGCCTGCCATAGGTTATCACAAATTGCAAAAGTATTCAGTGCATATACTGATGCATATTGAAAGAAAAATATATTTTTTTATATCCTTTGCCATCACAGCATGGACAGCAGACAACAAAAAGAAAAAATTCAAGACAGAAATGTGGTCATTATCAAATGAACTGAAAACTTGTATTAATTGGCAAAGCAAAAATTCAGGATGGAAATGGTTGTGGCTCATAATTACCTGTGGTATCTGTGATATCTGCTTATCTAAGCCTTGTAGTTTCTCAATTCTGACAGCATCTTTCTGAGTTAAAGGAAGAGGCATCTGGTCTTTGTTGACCCAAACAAGATTTTCAGGGAATTCATAATCAAAATCTGGATTTTCTTTCTTGGGCCGCTCAGGACGGAGCCTTTTATCACGTTCTAGAACATTCACATGCTCTCCTGTAAAACCAAAATATAGCTTAAGTTAACAATTGAAAGAAACCTTTCCTTCGTTATGTACATGACTCCCAATTTCTCAATTATGGAAATTCCCCTTACTGTCTGCCTTTGCCTTTCTCATAAATTCTGTTCTGAGAATTTGGTGATGGATCAAATGATTTAATTTAATTTAATAACTTCTAGAGAACTATTTTCATTCAATGATCAACAGCACTTAACAACTTAGAATACTACAGTAAATTCAAATTTATAAAACTAATTACATGACTACACTAATATTAACAATGTATGTTAAAAATAAGAATAATATGGAATATCCATAATAAGGATCTTAATTAGGAATAAGGATCTTAATAAGGAACTTAATTAGTAATACTAATAAAAGTAATTGTCAGAGAAAGCTGCACGAAATAAATAAGGTTTCAGCTTACATTTAAAAATGGAAAATGATTGAATATCACGTAATTCAGCTGGCAGAGCATTCCATAAGTACAGGGCAGCAGCAGAGAATGATCTGTCCCCCAACATGGCAAGCATTTTCCCCTTAGGAGGGTCAAGTAATAAACTTTGATTTGATCTAATGATAATGGTGTAAGGAGAAATTATCTTGGTCAGTCCTTGGAGTGAGAGGGTTGAAAAAAAAAATTAGAACTAGGAGATGAATAAAATTCAATTTTACCTTCCTTTTTGACTTGAGCTTGATGTAGTTTTCGGCTGATAAAAATGTGACCGCATGGACATGATTTGCATGCCACAGGGAGCTGGTGAAACAAACCACATGTGAGAAAAGCAAATAACAGTAGCAGGATGGGACTGTTTAACTAATAATTATAACAATAAAGATCAGGATTTTCCAGCTTTGTGGCAGTGAAGAAAAGGATAAGGGATAAGGAAACATGGACAGACGGCCATTGCGTCAGGATGAGGTACTGTCCCTGTTTCTTAGAAAGACAGAAGTTTTTCTCAATCACCCTTCAAAAAAATTGTTTAGTAGCTTCTAAATTTTAACCATAATCAAAATAATTATGTCAATAGCAGAGAAACCAAAGAATTGGAAGTTCAGGAAAAAGTTACTTTAGAAGAGTCACAAAAGCTTGTTGAAATAAATTTTTTCACCTAGAAAACTAAACCTTTTTACAGTAAGATAACAGATTTGATTAACCCTCATAGGTATCAAGTGTTTACGAGATCATCTCACATTACACTATATCACTCCCTTCACCTTTTGTACCCCAACATCAGTGTATATTCCAGATATATTGTTCTCTATACATTTCCTTAGGTGCTCCCAATGACAATGTGTTTACCCTTTCACTTCCATTAGTATCTACAATTATCCCCTCTGTCTGCCAAACAATTCCAGGGCTGTAGTCTAGCAGCACCTGGTGGCCCCTTGCGCCTGACTTTCGCTGTTGGACAACTTAGGAATTTTAGTTTTTTCATATAAAAGCATATGCTGGGCACCCTGTATTTCAAAGTTTCAGAGCAGTAGGCTCCCTTTACTTTTTCTTAGAGTACAGCCTTGAATTCTAATGATGTTAGTTTGGAGAATGTGGTATCAGATCAACTGATTTATATTTTTCTCTATTCTCATCACTTTTCTGCTTAATATTGTATTAATGTTGTAAGGAGAAATTCTGTCTCGGTCACTCATGCGAATGAAAGGTTAACAAGCTGTTAGCGATCATTTTCTCGATTCTTGTGACCTTAACGTTTGATTCATGGGTTATGCTCTAAAGCCAGGAAATTAGACACCAATCAGTCTTTAAGGGGCTGTCAAGGGTCAACCACAAGATTTGAATTGAACAGTTGTGCACTACTCAGCAAACTCTCAGCATGTTGTTTATGTGATAATTTCAACCAAAACCAAAATAATAACTGAAAAAATTAGCCTTACAAAAATTTTTTAACTTTCTGCTAGCAAAGGGAGTTTGAATTGCAGTACAGATTGAAAATAAAAGACTCAGTTTGGAGTTTTTCAAGAGTTCTGCTGGCCTAACAGCACTATTGTTTACAACTTAAACAGCATCATGCACTCTTGTGACTTAATTGTTAACTAAATACTGTCTAGGAATCTATAACTTTTAGGGAGGTGGATCTTTCAAACTGTTAAATTTTGATCTCAGAGTCATCAGTCCCTTTGTGGAGAGTTACAAAGTCTTGTGATTGCACAAATATGTTTCATCGAGGAATATTAGTTTTTCTCCCCAAGGTCACCACAAAGGCCTAAATATACCTTAAATGGTCTTATATTTTACCAGTCGCCGCAAAATAAATTCATGTGGATCATCATTACAATATTCAGTGCTACAAGAAGTTTTCCCATCTCCTAAAAGTAATTATTGAACTTACGTAGAAAAAAGATTTACAACTTCAAAAATGCCATTCACTGTCTGAAAAATTTGAGAAATTTCTCTTGAGAGATCTGACTTGACACATTTTTCTTTTATTTTCCTAAACCCGACAAATATAACCTTTAACATTTAAAGTACTTTACATATAAGACTTCGCTTACGATTTCAATATTGATACAAATCATATCTGGTCACAGTTTAAGATCTAGATTAAACTCTAAACGAATTTTTTTTATTTGAGAAATGTTCATGGTTGAAAAATATTTACTTGTAAAATTTAAACCTAACGATGTGCTTGAATAACTAAGTAAATTGCTGGTCGAGTAAGCCGATTTTCTGAGACATCGTGGTTTTCGAGTGACACCAATTTACTTGATATATGTGATTTCAAAATTAAAAGAATCAAATCACTCACGAAAAGAAAATTAGAGGAACGATCAATTAATTCAATAAAGTTATTTCTCTCACAAATTTATCAAAAAAGCATTTAGGGCAATTAACGTTTGAATTTTAAACGAGAAAATTGCGATTAAAATCGCCGCGTTGCCTAAATGTCATAAATATTACAATTTATATTTTGGACTTACCGTCTGATCGCAGTTTGGGCATCGTTTTACCACCATAACAAAACTTAAGATGAAGAAAATAGCTCTAAGAGGGTACTACGCGAAACACACGCGAAAGGAAAAGAACATCAAAATATGAAAACAAAATTTCGTGAAACAAAACAGATCAGATTCGTGTATCAGAATGTATCACGCGGTTGTGGAGGTCTGGTAGTCACTGGAGCCGAGTCTTCCGACTAATTTCTGAGTTTTGGGCAATGGCGGGAAAGTGATCATACTGGGACTTGGTTTTGTTAGTTGAGTAACTTTTCGATAGGAAATCATTTCAATAATAATTCAGGTGGACACTGACAATAAGATTACCAACGAGTAAGTCCGCTTGCCATTGCGTGGCTCCCGCACTCAAGCACGACCTGACAGCTGTAAATGACCCATCGCAAGTTTCTGACAAAATGTCCGAGTACTTGGCACGTTCTTTAGTCCTTTAGAGCATGGTTGTTTAGAGCACGGTTGTTTAGAGCACCACTTAGCAAGAGACAGAACTATTACTTTGATTAATTTTGCTCTTTTTCGATGCCTGGACGTTCAGACAACGTGATTCAGTGCAATCCGGCATAGTTAATCGAGGGGACTGGTCCTCTCGATTGACTATGAATCCGGTGAGGAATGGATACGTACGCATGGATTATGAGGGACTTAGGCCGAAGTTTCAGAGGGGTAGTGGCTGCTTTGTAGACATTGCCGACTGGCCACCAGAGTGCAAGCGATTTAGAAAGTAAAAACGCCAGATACAGAATAGTGTTTTCCCAAAAACTAAAGGCTACAAACATTGTAATCCATAACGTGATTCAAGTCAAAATGCTTTTGTTGTTGTTAAACATTTTACTGAACGAGATAGGGATCGATTTTTAATTATCATCTAAGATTTTCGGGTTAACTTTTAGTTACTGTCGATCGGACAGGAACACGCAATTATATTTCTATGATAAACTATACAAATAGTCATCATTGAATAGAAAAGACTATGGAAAAAATTTCGTTTTTTTGATCACTCGCATAATTATTTGGGAATTCTATGTCTGTGTCAAGAATCGATGAAGCGTTGACAAGAGGTTTGTTTCACGAAACATGGTGAATTCGTGATGAAGGATAAACTTAGAAATAATTAAATTTTCATAGAAGAAGACATCTCTTTCAGCGAAGAGGTACACATCCGCTGGCAAATTTGGACTGGGGAGACTCTAAAACTGCTGTGACAAGTGGCAGCAAATATACGTGGTCCACACGACAAAATAGAGCGAATAACTACTCTACGTACTGTTACGCCAGCGGTCTCGAGCCCGCCAACAAGGCTGTTCGTTCAACATCAGGCAACCAAATACAGTAAAAACCCGCAAGTAAGAACCAAAAAATTAAAAACCTGTTAGCCTAAAATTTGCTATTTATACCCCCTATAAACAAGAACCTATTTAGCCTAAGAAAACTAAAATAGGTTCTTATTTCCTAAAATCATATAGTACATTACAGGTACACTGAAATTATTTACTGTAATCATAATCGAAGAAAAACCAAATACAAATTTATATTATTTCCTTTTTTGTGG